CGAAATTCGAGGCTTTATTGTAAAAAACTGGTTATACATTTATGATTCAAAGTATTGTCCATCGCTGGCCACTACTTTCTCCCATCTTTCGGGCAGCGTACGAATCCCGCGTTGAAAAAACTGGTCATCTTTTGAAGCGATCCACGAATCGATCCAATTTCTTACTTCTTCATAAGACCGGAATTGCTGGTCAACCAGACCGTGTACCATTGATTGAAACAAGTGATAGTCAGAGGGAGCAACGTCTGGAGAATACGGCGGGTGGGGTAGGACTTCCCATTTCCACGTTTTCAAGTATGTCTTGACCATTTTCGCAACATTGTCATGCTGCAAACATTTTTATACTACATCCTTCTGGACAGATTTTTATTATATCATTTATATATACTATAAATAACAAAGGTCCTAATATAGATCCTTGTGGTACTCCATATCCTGTGGCCATTAATTTAGACCATTTATTATTAAATTGAACTTGCTGTGTTCTATCCTTTAAATATGATCTTAACCATTCTATAACCATTCCTCTAATTTCATATTGATATAATTTCTCTAATTATATTTCTCTATCTATTGTTTCAAAGGCTCGCTTAAAATCCATGAAAATTACCCCATCCATTTTTGCCTCCCTAATTATCAATTTCCATTCATCAATGAGTGTAAATCACTGTTTCACACAAATACTGTTTTCTAAAGCCTGACTGATGCTCTGTTATAATACAATTATCTTCCAAATACGTTTCGATTTGTTTTTTAACTACTAATTCTAACACTTTTTCAAATATTGATAACATATTAATAGGCCTAAATTCACTTGCTTTTCTAGCTTTCTCTATTTTTGGAATTGGTATTATCGTAGACGTTTTCCAACCTTTTGACAGCTACCTTCTTTCAAAGAGTTATTTATTATATCAACAAATTCCTCTTTTATTACGCAAAATATTGCTTTTAAAATCACGATACGACAAAAAAAACTTTTTCAACGAAAACTGAAATAACTCGTCAATAACTACTCGACGCTACATTTAAATATTTGCATGTTCAAGACAAACGTCGATACTAACTAGTTTAATAATTCTCTGAGAGAATGCGCTAGTCGTACTGTTGCAAAAAAATTAATTCGCGATTTTTATTTGTTGCATTGCATTTTCTTCCATACGCACACTGCATTCATTATACATATATTATATACATTTTCTTACTATTCTTCAAGAACAAAAAAAATGTCGACAATTTTGATAACTATAGCATAAATAATTAGGCAATGATGCAGGAAGTGCAAAAAAAGCCATGAGTAAAAAATTTTCAGATTGGGAAAATTTAAGTATTATGGAAGTATACAGGATGTCCTAAAACTACCGTACTTCCTCTTAATCGCACATTCCTTACAATTAGAGTTTTCTCTCTCTCTCTCTCTCTCTCTCTCTCTCTCTCTCATTTTTTTATGTTGAAACCGTCTTTTTTGGATATTACATTATTTTCTGGTTTTTTATGCAGTCAGATAAAATTGATATATCTTTTATACTTACAAATAATGAAAAACATCCCTGTTTTTCTTCGTTGTTTGATACACAAAAAATATCTATTTATACATTTTTCCTTTTGCATCAAATTTATAGCTCTTTTTTTTTCACATATCAGACATATGAAACTCTGTTTTATATTGAATAAAGTAAGTTATGCATTTTTAACATTGAATCTATATATGCTTTTTTTATCGAATAAAGTAACTAATGTGATTATAATATTATTTTATAACATGTCTCCAACCTCTTTCAGTTTGACATAACGATGACATTATAATTACTTAAATATTTGTATAATAAAAATTCCAAAAATTTCTGTTTTAAGTAAATGCGTATATATATGCGCAGTTTGTTTAAATAAATAGTGTATATGAAATAATTGATATAATTATTGATTATAATAGTATTAAAGAAATTTGATTTTGCACTAAAGGTTTACACAAATATACTGGATGTAACTAAACGAACGCATATGGACAATACTATCAGATACAGAACAACAATTCAAATCGAAAAGTCCTGAACCATTTTCCAGAATTCGCGGACACGAAATGCACAGCGTGATTATCCGTGCCAAAATAAGCAATTTTTTTCTCTGGCAATTGCGTCTGAACACTACTTTTTAAATGAGAGCAACTTTAAGCTAACGAATGAGTTCTCTAGGTTACGCATGAATCAGCGACGCGAGCATGGCGTGTGTGAGCGTGTACGCTATTTTACTATTTCGTTAAAGATTTTATAACATATACTATGCATGATATTTAAATATCGCTATTTTGTGAATATAACGTACTTAATAAGAGAACATTTTCTAAATGATATCACAGAAGCAACGACTGAAAGTAAAATAAGTAGATTAGATAACACATAAATAAGTTTAAGCCAAGATTATTGTTCTAACGTTCTAAAAATTTTGTGGCCCTGGAAAGGGCCATGAACATAATCTACTTATTTTACTTTCAGTCGTTGCTTCGGTGATATCAATTAGAAAATGTTCTCTTAATAACTAAGTTGTATTCAAAATAGCGATATTTAAATATCATGCACAATTCATATAAAATCTTTAGCGAAATAGTAAAATAGCGTACATACACGTTCACGCGCCACACGCTCCGTGCGCGCGCCGCTCCTGATTCATGCGTAACCTAGAGCGCTCATTCGTTAGTTTAAAGTTGCTCTCATTTAAAAAATAGTGTTCAAACGCAATTTTGGCACAGAAAAAAGTTGCTTCTTTTGGCATGGACAATAATGCTGTGCCGTGTCCGCAAATTCTGGAACACTCTGTATATCAATATATTTATAATATTTGTTATTTCTGTATTTATTATGCAAATTTTAATTTATGTAAATTCTATTAATAATCATTAATAATAATTATTTTATATAATTAATTATTTTACAACGGAAAACAGAGAAGGTACGACGGGGGTCGGAGTAGAGAGACGGCTTTCTGGTGTATAGACAGGCGCTGATTAGCTAACTTTAACATCACATAACAACGAAAAGAAAGCTCAGATCAAAAAATAGTTCAGGATTTTTTGGTTTGAATTGTTGTTCTGTATCTGATAGTGTTGTCCATATGCGTTTGTTTAGTTACACCTTGTATAAGTAATTACAATGTCATATCAAATTTTAATATTCATTATATCAAATTTTAAATTTAAGATTTAAAGAAATTATAAACACATCAAAAAATAATATTATTATAATTATACTAA